GGTCAGGTCCGATGAAATGTCAAAGGTAGGCATATAAATGAACCGAGCTCGGCTCGTAGAGTAAACAAGCTAGAATCGAGTTCGAGTTATGAATTGTGATTAGTGGATCACCGTATTGTAAAACTACTTATTCTCATTGAGTGCAATGTTAACTATCGTTTGGAAAAAAAAAAGAAAAAGAAAAAGAAAAGAAAATGTAGAGAGAAAATAATTAAATAAATAATAAATATCAAAATATTAATACTGATTTTTTTTCACCTTCACGCGATCAGAACTCAACACTCTGAGATCCATTATCATTAGCTCTACAGACGCTAATGTTTCTCCATCTCATACAACAGCGTTGAATCGATTGTCGGATTTGAAGAAAACGAGAACAGGCCATGGCACCTCCAGCTCAATCTCGTCGGAGCCCATCTCCTTCTCAGCCATCGGGGTATACTTTTTTTTTTTTTTAATATTGTCAAAAATTTTCATATGCGCACTTTATCTTTGCCGCTATTGAATTCTGTTTGAAATTCGTGTAACAAATTGATGCACGGAGCTCGATACACCACATTTTACTGTGAATCACACGAATTCAGTCTGGTTAATAAATTTCTGTGATTGTCTGAGATTTGTAGTTTCTCGATACGAGGAGGTCTTAATTATCATATTGCACTATTGCGTCTTAAAATCTATCAATATAGTGTTATACAGAGGGAATTTGTGCTCAATAAGCCCACTAATTGTTTCGAAATTTGCAAAAAAGCAAGGAAATTGTTCATACCCCGTGGCTCTTTACTGTTCATGTTATGTATTGGGTTTGGTAGAAGTTACAAAACAAGGATGAAAAAGCATGAGTTCTTGAAAAGCTAACCCTTTGTTCTTTTGGTATATACACTCCAGAAAGGGAGAGGTCACTGACCTCAAAATGCAGCTCCGCCAGCTGGCGGGCAGCCGAGCTCCGGGCACGGACGACACCAAACGGGACCTCTTCAAGAAGGTTATCTCCTACATGACCATCGGGATAGACGTGTCGTCTGTATTTAGCGAGATGGTCATGTGCTCGGCCACTTCAGATATTGTCCTGAAAAAGATGTGCTATTTGTACGTGGGAAATTACGCGAAGCACAATCCGGATCTTGCACTCCTGACCATAAACTTCCTTCAGAGGGATTGTAAGGACGAGGATCCCATGATTCGAGGCCTGGCTCTGAGGAGCCTGTGCTCGCTTGGCGTGGCTAATTTGGTGGAGTATCTTGTGGGCCCGCTGGGAAACGGACTGCGGGATGGGAATAGCTACGTGAGGATGGTAGCTGCTGTTGGTGTGCTAAAGCTGTACCACATTTCGGCCTTGACTTGCTTGGATGCGGATTTTCCGGACCTGCTTAAGCATTTGATGCTTACAGATAAAGATGCTAAGGTTTGGTCGATTTTTTGTTCTTCAAGAAATCGATTGTGAAGTGCACTAATGGTAGTTTTTTCGTTCCCCTGACATGGTGATACCTTACGATATGATGATATTTGATTAAAAAGCTGTGTGGCTATGCTTGTTACTTTGTGGTAGAAAATTGAAAAATTTTTTAGGTAAAACATTGAGGAAGTATTCACATAGGACAGCAGGGGCTTTCTCGTGAGGTGAGTTTCTGTTTTGTAAAGAGTGTCCTGCCACAAATAATAATTGGGAATATTTTAATTAGATTAGTTTGTCACTGCCCATGGAGGAGAAAATGGGAGAATCTCGATTAAGATGGTTTGGGCATGTGAGTAGGAGTGACTTCGAGGCACGGGTGAGAAGGGTAGAACATTAGAATTAAGAAGGCAAATCAAAAGAGGGAGGGGTAGACCGAAGAAAACTTGGAAATGACAATAAAAAATGACTTAAAATATTTAAATTTGAATGAGGATATGTGCTTTAATCGAGCACGATGGCGACATGTGATCCATATAGCTGACCCCACTTAGTGGGATTTTATTGGCTTGTTGATTAGTTGATTGATTGAGCTACCGTTCCCCTTTAATACTAAGTTCTTTTGAAAACAGGTGGTTGCAAACTGTTTAACTTCTCTACAAGAGATTTGGAGTCTGGAAGCAGCTACTTCCGAGGAGGCGGCAAAGGAGAGAGAATCATTGCTTAGCAAGTCTGTTATTTATTACTTTTTGAATAGGTATGAGTAGGCATTATTCAGTAGCTTCCATGTCATATTCATTTTCTGTAGTCAGGTAAGAGAATATGCATCTTGTTTATACTTTTTATACTAGTAATTATCTGACGAGCAACAATGTTTTTCCATGTTTTGGATTTATCTTTCTGGAAAGAACTCCTTAACTTGGTATTTGGTGGGTGCAGGATTAAGGAGTTCGGGGAGTGGGCACAATGTATTGTGTTAGAGCTGGTTTCTAAATATGTTCCTTCGGATAGTGATGAGATCTTTGACATCATGAATCTTCTTGAAGATAGACTTCAACATGCAAATAGTGCAGTTGTCTTGGCCACTATTAAGGTTTTTTTACATATGACCTTGTCCATGACCGATGTTCATCAACAGGTAATTTATGTTTTCCATCTTCAATTATCATCTCTTTAGTAGGCTCAAGAAGGAGAAAGTTCGATTCTCTGATCCCTCAAAACTTGGAAAGTAGTTTTTTTTGTAGTGAATGACATTACTAGCCTCCCTTTATGTTTTCCATCTATCAATTATCATTTAGGAAAATGCTACGGTAATGTAACGGAACCATTCCTTACATCATACTCCAATAAAAAACTGCCACATCACATTTATTTGATTACATCTAAGGGTCCATATCAAAACTAAATCTAATGGCTTATATTAATTTCAGGGAACCATTCCCCCACGGGACTGTTGCATTTCCCTATCATTTAACCAGTACTCTTGTGTACATGCACCAGTATGTAAAATTATATGAATTTCAAACTTGTTTTCCAAATGAACTATATAAATATAGATTTTTTATACAACTTGTCTAAAGTTAGATTTTTCACAAAAAAAAAAAAAA